GTAGAGCGGAGATACAGAAAAGCAGCTTCAGGAGTCATGCAGTTTGGCTTCCTTTTTTAATGGGAAGGGTAATTTCATGGTTATTAGCATCTGTGTCTGTGTAGGGCAGGAGCCCAGCTCTGCCAGCCTCGCTCATCCTGGCTGTGTTTATGTGCTCCTGCAAAGAACCACCTGCCTCTGGTGGTGGTTGCAATTACGAGTAATTCTTACAGCGTGTGAGAAGGGGTTGATGACATGCATCCTAAAACACTGAGGACTTTAATCCTGTGCATTCTAGGCAAGGCTTTTGCACCCTGAAGTTATTCTTCTTGACTAAAAATACATTGATGGCCAGGAGCATTTATCCTCTTGCTGTGAGGCAGTGGGTACCAGAAATGCTCTGCTTATATGTACCCGAGACATCTCTTCTGGGGTACTTGTTGGGCCAGGATGGTTCCTTACCACAGGTCAGATGCTGTTTTTAGAGTAAAAGGGAGAAGCATTATCACAGGGGCAAAAATAAATTGACTTTCCCAGGTTACCCAGGGACTGGGCATCAGAGCTGGAGAAGAATCCCAGATCTTCAGGTGGCGACTAGAAGTTTGTCCTCCTTCTCCATACTGCCATCTCCCCAGCAAAAGTCATTTTGCTGCTCATCTCACACCAGGATTGCAGGGCTTGGACCCTGTCTTACTGTCCATGGGCAATTCCCATTTTTTCTTGCCTCCTTTCCTGCTCTTGGTAGCTACTGCAGCTCCAGTGTGAACATCTGCTATAGGAACAGGTGAGCTGAAGAACCAAAACAGCCTGTGCCACTTCCCCAGAGCTCTCAGCTGTGCAGCTTCGAAGCCGAGCGCACATGCATGTAACATATTCATTATGGTCCTGCTTTTTAAAGTCTTCCTTTGTTCCCCCAAGCTGCTCTAACAATAAAGACGTCTTTGTTCCTTTCACTGTGAAGAGGATGATATTGCACCAGTACTTCTGGGCAACCATTCTGGTGGGGAAGGTAGGACCTGCCCTGCAAATTCAGACATCTGAGATGTCCATCCTCGCTCCTTCTCAAAGTCTTCCTGTGCCATCTGTTAAATCTGGCCCCCAGGATGCTGCCACAACAGAGTCACTGTCTTGGAAACTCTTAATATCTGTTTTGAGGTGGTGGGGCTGTGCCCTGTGCATGGACCTCACATGACCAGCTCCGTGCAGTGTCCAGAAGCCCCAGTGCCTCAGTGGGTCATTTGGCTTCAGAAGGTGTAAGAGATGGTCAAAGGGATTGCGACTGGGATGTGGGATGGGAGGAGGAAGTTTCTGCAGCAGATGGGTAGAAAGTGTGGGCAGCACTGCTCTCCTTAGCACCAGCACTTAATAGCAGAAGAGGTAACCAGCCCAGTGGCTGAATCCCTCTTCAGGGTTTCGCTGGGGTGGGGTTGGCTCATGCCAGGCTCAGTTTTGCCAAAACATGCAGGACCAGAGGGACTTTGGCCTCTCTGACCAGTGACGGGATATGAAGAAGAAAGTAGTTTTGCGAGACGTCTCCCAGCAGCCTGCGTGGCTGTGTCGGAGTCCCTGCAGGAAGGATATGCTTCCTGTGTTTGAGGGAAAGTCTCACCCCGCCATGCATGTGTTATGGCAGCAAAAAAGCCCCGTTCCTGGGCAGGCTGCTGTGCTGCTCCCCGGGTGCTGCAGCCACGTGCGCCGAATCACTGTCAGCAAACCACCAACATGGGCTGACTCCAGCGCGCTGAGGCCCAGGTGGCGGATGATAGTTACAGCTTAATGAGGACTTTTTGATTAGTGTCCCCAGGGATGACCCTCTTCCCTGGGCTGGAGCCACTTGGTCGCTGCCACGTTACCTGACAGCTGCCCTTCTCATCGCTGGACTGAGAAGACGAAGCTGGATTTGCTGGGGCAGCCTTAGCACATTTGTGTTAGAAACCTGTTTGCAGGAAGGTGAGGGAGGGCAGCGTGGGTCTGTGGCAGTGGGACTTCCCCTTTTGGTGTTCCTGGGCAGCCCCCATGATGACGAGACACCGCGCAGCACCCCATGGAGCAGGCCAAGCAATCGCTGATGCCTTCAGAGTCTTCCCCAGCCTTTGCACTAGTGCACAACCCCTCTAACTGCTAGATGCTTGCTGCTGGCAGCAGAGCCCAACCAGGGCCCCCATCAGCCGCCCCAAGGAGCAGGCCAAGGGCCATGACACAGGTGGACGGGGAGATTTCTTGAGCCACCTCTTCCATGGATGATCTGGGCTGAGGATCAGGCCCTGGACCAGTAACCCCTCCATCACATGCTCTGGCTGTCAGGCTGCTGCTGTCTGTCACAGCGTGCTACAGGCATGACACGCGGGGGAAGTCCTGGCAGACCACGCTTTTCCCCGTAGCCTCCGTTGGTTTTGAAATTGCATATCCCCATGAAGACTCATCTTTTAAACCCACAAAGTCTGTGTAGTTTTTCCATCTTCATCCAGATTCTTGCACTCTGCTGAGCCATGGCAAAACACAGAATGGGCCGATGGCTGATTGCATCGCTCGCTTGCTGTGGCTTGGTGCTTCCTTTTCAGTTCATGTATTTCTACATGCTGCCTCTCTTCCTCTCTTTGAGTTCACGATCTTTAGGTCAGGGACTGGCTTGGTCTTGCAGGTTTGTGCGCTGCCCAGCACAGCAAGACCCTGATGCCGTATTTGGGACTATATCTCCTGGTATGGCCCAAACAGCAGCAATAATTTTATCCCTTGAGTTGCTGAGCTTTTTGGGTATCACAGGGTTACTGGGGAAGCATCTTTGATTACAGCAAACTGCCAATACCTTGTAAAAATGGCCACAGATTTTGACTTACAGAAAAATTAGAAATGAACCCAAATAAAACAGCCACAAAGCTATAAAATGGAAGGTTTTTGTGTTCCCAAGCTTGAAGTATGTAATGAACCATGTGTGAGTACCAGGGGTGTTGTTCTGAGAGCCCAAAGGCATCTTGAGGCACTGGTGGATGGTGGTGGAGAGCAGTGGATGGTGGTGGAGAGCACCACAGCCAAGGAGGTTGGTGGGGCTTGTGGAGCAGCACCGGGTGCTCGCAGGCAGGGAGGAAGCTGCCTGCCAGGAGGTAATGTCTGGTTCTGACAGTTGCTACAATTTGTAACAGGAAACCATTTTAGCAAAGGGGTGAAGAAGGAAACAGAAATTTGAGCGTGCAGGGAGAGGGCTGCTTGAGATTTTTATTTTTTTTCTCCAGTCACTTATTTCATGGTGCTTCAGCTGCAGGTATAACCAAGCCTGTTTCTCAGCTGCCTGGTACCTTGGGGAGGCATTTGTGGAGGTGGAATGGGTTTTACCAGGTTCATAAGTATTCTCACAGCCTATGCATGGTGGGCAGCAATGATGATAAAAAGCACAGCAGCAGACTTGTCCCTCTCATCACCCAACATGAAGCTGCCCCAGGACTGCACACAGCATGCACCTCCCTTGGCTGTGGTCCTTGCTGAGTGCATATGTGTCTATGTATGGATGTCCTGAAGCCATTATCCTTCCATGCTCCCAGTGCTGGAAATGAAAAACAAACTTAGATTCTTGGAAACAGTGACTCAGTTTTAAAAAACAAGGACCTAAGGGATTTGTAGGAGGTAATCGGTTGAATATGAGCACCTATGGAGCTGCTGTTGCGACCAAAGGAACTGGTGTGATTGTACGCAAGGAGGGAGCCTACACTGCTGTTGTATCTGGTGTTGTGCAGACAATGCTGGAGCCTCGTGTCCCTCTATGGTGTCTGCACTTCAGCAAAAAAGTTGCAGAATTGGATCAAGCTTAGAGAAAAGCCAGAGATGATTAAAGGATTGGAAAATACGTTCTGTAACAAGGCAGGCAAAGAGCTCAGTCCACTTGTCTGAGCTAAAGCGAAGGTTGCAGGGTGTTTTATTGAAATATGTGAGTATCTTGATGGGAACTTTGATAATAGAGAGCTCTACTGTCTTGCAGATCAGAGCGATAAAACTCAATGGCTCACATTTGAAACCAGACAGGCTCTGAGTGGGGAAAAAAGCACTGGGGGAGGCGATTTGCTAATCGAATGACATGTCATTATTGAAAGCAAGTTCTCTCTCTGCAAATGTTTAAATGCAGCAGGGTGTTTTTCTAGGAGACCCAAGCTCTAGGTCAGCCACAGCTATTGCACATGGATTAGGTATTAACTGGGGGAGCCCTGTGGCTGTGATTATACAAGTGCTCAGCCTGGGTGACAGCAGCCATCCCTCTATGCTTGTGCTTTTACAGCAAAGGTGAATGGCAAAGGAGATAAGGGACATAGAGGTTCCCATTCGGTAAGTGCCAGTGAGCTTTCAGAAACATTTCCCTTTGCTTTTCATTCCTGGGGAACTGGCACTGTTGGCAGCTCCACGGCAGGCCGGGACTGGGCGGGGGACACACCGCATGTGTGGTAAAAACAGGGGAAATTTTTTTTACCAGCAAGTTCTTTTTGCTGGTTGCAGTGCCACAGCCTGCCTGCGCAGCACTCGATCCTTTCCGGTTCACCTTTGAGAGTGCATTTTGTTATTTACAGTTTCCAGCGCTGTTCATGTGTGTGAGAAGGAGAGAGCATGTGAGTGTTGACATCGGTCATACTTTTCTAATTGTGCTGTTTCAAGAGATATTTTTGATAGCGCTGCTTTGCATTTCAGAGAGCACGTGCTTTCACTCGGGGCTGCTAAAGCTGCACTGCAGCACCCAGCTCTGCTCAGTCTTAAGCAGTTTTGCGTAGTTAAGCAGAGAAGGGCATGGGTGGGTAGTTGTGTTCCTCTTCTGCATTCTTACTCTGCTGCTGAATCACGGAAGGAGAGATGACATAGAGATGTAGGTTAAACACATAAGAAAAGGAAAACAAGATAAACTGGGATCATGTCTGCTGCAGTGCCAGTCAGTCGTGGTTCTGGTTTTGTCCCTTGGCACTTCCCCACTTGCTCTTCTGTCTGCTGTCTGTCTATCACCCTCTCTTTTCCTTTGGATTTAGTGTGGAAACTGAACATCCAGAACCATGACTACTCACGTCACGCTAGAGGATGCCTTGTCCAACGTGGACTTGCTGGAGGAGCTGCCTCTGCCAGACCAGCAGCCATGCATCGAACCACCTCCGTCCTCCATCATGTACCAGGTACCTTCAGCTCCCGAGGTGGTGGGACAGGGAGGGTTGTTCCAGTAGCTCGTGCAAAGCACAGGGACACATGGTGCTATGAGAACTAACTGAAAACATCCTGGGTTCACCATGTTTAAGGAAATGTTCAGAACAGATCGAGCCACAGATCTGTTCCCAAAGGCTTTAAAAGGAAAGCGCTAGAGATTGGTGAAAGGGATCTTCAAGGCTGAGCAAGACGTAGGGAGGTTAAAAATGAGGACCAGAGTGCATGAACGGGTAAGAAGCAGGAGATAAGATTTGTGATAACAGCAGAAAGTTCTCAGTGATGTTTTATTATGCACATATTTTTGTGCTTCCTTTTTATGGTAGTGCATGCATCTAAGTAGGTCAAAATAAAAGTTCTGCCTGACTTTGGCCGGCCTGTGCCGCTCGCACAGCTGGAGCTGCCGGTCTGGGGAGCTGATGGCATGCAAGGGAGGGCAGTTGCTAGAATCACTTCTCTGCCTCGAACAACCACAGATTTAGCTGCAGCTGCACTGACCAAGCAAAGCTTGGCATGAGCCCAGGGCAAGGCTCAACCTCCTGTATTTGGATCCGCAGCAGGATGCCTTGGCTGCTGGGCCACCACGCCCTACCCTACAGCACACACCCAGGGTTAAATATAATATGGGGTTACTGTCTCCATCCTGCCACTCCTGAATTCATGACTTACCCATGGCAGTGAATAAATGCACCCGCACAGTGATTGCTGTGCCATGTATGCAAGGGTCTGAAATTACAGTATCTCTTTCAGCAGGTCAGACTGTGGGCTCGTTCAGTAGCGTTAGTATCTCTACAGGTTATCAGACCCAAAGGCAGTTCTGGGCTGCTCAAATTTCAGCTTTCCCTAGAAAATCTTGATATTGTTTTTGCTTCTCACTTCTTTAAATAGTTTTTACTCTTTGCTGGCTTGTGTCCTGTGAGAGGCTCAGGGTCCAGCTGAGCCTAAAAACCTCCTCTAAACTGCATCTAAATACATTGGCCTAGCTTGTTTCCTCCTCATGCTTGGTTTGTATGTAGCCCTCTCCCCTGCTAGCCATAAATGCGTTTGCAATCTCAGCTTTTGTTGTCACATTAGTCACATGCGATGTCCTGGAGGCACTAAGAAGAGTAGCCCTGTGGCCACACGTCCGCGCTCTGGCTTTTCCTACTCAGGAAATCAGTTCTTGAGGTGAGCGTGGTTGCTGCAATGCTAATGTCATTGCAAGGAGCAGCTCTGGGTGCCTGGGACTTCTGTACACTCCGCCCTCCAGCAAATGCCATCAGCCAGCCTTCATGAAGGAAATTACCTGAAGGAAATTACCTGAGCACAGAGCACGTGAATGGGCACTCGGTGCAGAGGCTGAGGAGCTGCTTTTATCATCCCCCACCTTGCTCTGCACTTTCTTGCTCTCCTGTCCTGACCCACAGCAGTAGCTCAACTTCCAAAACAATTGTTCCTCCCAAAGCATCTGCTTGCAAGAGCAACACTAGTGCTGATAATAGCATCTGGATGAGTGCTGACTTTCGTATTTATGTTTTCCAGACATCTCGTTCCTTGCCCTTTCTGTGTGTTTAT